AGGAGATGAAAACAATTCATTAGGTAAATTGATTCCTAATATGCCCTTACGGAAGCCCTACTAAAATTGTTGTGATGCATTATCGCGACTGACATGACTTCAAGGGCAATTCGAGTCTCTCTTGTGTTTCTCGGAAAAGGCACTCTGCCTTAATGCCTGGTGGCAGGTCTCGAGATTCACCCTAAGGCCTGACGGGACAAGTTCGTCAACAGGAAGAGAAGGGACATCTGTAGGTGGACACGTTCCCCTTAACAATTTTCAGGAATGTCTTGAAGGTCGTTGCAATAAGCACTGAATTAAGATGCATTGCATGAACCTAAGAGTGCTTTATGCATAAATCATGAAATATAAGAGGTATTTCCACCGACTGTAGTTATTCTTTGCATATCTTATCATAGTACGCTGAGATGTGCGAACCTCTAGAGATTGCTCAGAATCAGGGTTATGCGACTCAGGCTCTTAAAGGCATCGAAGGAGCGATGCTGTGGCGCATTACGTTTCCTACGTCTTGTAAGGGGGAAGATCCTCACAGAGAGCCCACGCCCCACCTCATTTCACGTAATGGCTCTGTCCGACATTACCGTCACCTAGGTCAGACTTGCATCCCCAGAGATGACAAGATCTTGAGCTAAATCCCTCTTTGTTATCTGATTCTTGAGTCCCCAACGGTGATGGGAGTGCGAACGGTCATCAGGCGCTCAGAGGTCTGTCGTCCGGTCAGCCGCCAGATCAGCGAAATTGGTGTGATCCGTTCACCAATCACAACAGTCACATTTGCCTGGGAGGTCACGCGTCGGCAGGGGCCTAACAGAATGCTTTTGACCGTTAGAGCAAATCAACCAAAGAGAATCGAGCATCCAAGTATAAATATACAGCGTCGGCGGGCTTCCAGTAGAAATTCAGTCACTATGAACATCCACCTCTCTCTCCTTCTCCTTACGGCGGTTGTGTTGGGCGCCTGGATGCAGGTCAGTAATGCGGACACCACCACTAAAACTCTGTCTGTTGACAAGACGGAGGGACCGCTACACGCCGCCGGAATGCAATACGGCTACCAGAAACCGGAGTATCGGCCACCCATGTACAAGCCTGTGTACCGTAAACGACCTCAATATGGATACTAGGCTGGCCGATAGCAGGGAAGGGTGGTGTTGTCTGCGTGGCTTCATCGTGATTTGTTTGTCATCTTGAACAATGAAAATAATTTTATCGAAAATTGTCTTACGTCTTTTGAGGGTTATTCGTTCTAACCTACTCAATCGTATTTGATGACGAGAATACAGTTGATCAGTTCTTATCGGTAGTAGGGTAGTATTCCGATAATCCTGACGTTCCGGTTTGGGAAATTGGCATGACTACAGGGGAGGAGAAATTAGGATATGGTGTTTCGTTTGCGGTCTTTTGGGGATATTCGTGTTACTCAATTCGTCTACTCAATCGTATTTGATGTTTAGAAAAAGTGAACTTTTTACGTTTTTGTTCTTACCGTTAGTCTGAGTGGCTTCATCGTGATCTGTTTGTCGTACAATTTTATCCAACGTAGTCTTATTGTTGCCGTTTTTCATAATTTGGGGCGTCTAGTCAACCGGAGCTGGTAGGGGTCCGTTAATATGCTGGATTGGAAAAAAAGTACAAGAGAGAAGGGGAAAGCTGAGATGAGTGACTTATTCTGTTGCCAGATGGTTCTGTGATAGAATTTCTTTAATCCTGACGTGCAGGATGGAGAAATGAGCATGAGCGATTGAAAGAAGGGAAGACAAAGGAAAGGCTACTTGAATAGCTTTTAAAGTAGCATCAAGTATCTCTGTGCAAGTAAAACTCCTGATTATTAGCCGTTTGTAGTTTACAGGATTATTTGCCCTGTCATTAGGTAAGAGGTCCGCCCACTCACGATCAGCAGCATGCGTTCAGTTCACCAATAAGTCCTACAGTTCTAGTGACCTTGGGAATCCAGAGGGTCGTTGAGCCTATCAGACAGTAAGGACGCCGCACTTTCTGTTCTCGCTGCATCATTCGCTCAGCATGATCTCATTACTTATGTCAATCGACGTCATAGGTGTTGATGAAGATCTCGAAGCGGAGAGTGAGACTGGTGTTGGAGAGGCTGGCGGATTATGTACCGATGGTCCTGGTGATTGGAATTCCAGTTTTCTTCGTGACTGTGCTCACGCCGGAGGCTGCCTTGGCCGCATTGCAGCTTCTAATGGTCGTTCTATTCATCGCATTCCGCTAGGCTTGTTATTTTGAATGAGTCAACACGAAATTCAAATACCCTTTCGTGTTCCTAACGTAATGGGTCGTGTTTAACCCATTCTTGAGTTTACCTTTGTATGTCGGGACTTGTTTAGGCCCTACAGGTATCTTAGTGTTATGTACTGGTATCCCCTAGAAAAATACTCATGCATAATATTGCACTACAGTTATCGCAAGATCAACCCACTCTTTCGTGATGATTTGTATTTTCCGTTGGGAATTGCTTTCGGACATCGGGCAATCAATAATAACTTCCATGCATTACTGATATCGTTATTCATCGAAGTGTGCGCATTTAATGTCCCAGGAACTGGCCTATTTTTGTTCGACAGCTATGATTATCGCCTGTTAGTTACTGCCTCAGATACGTTCAGAAGGATGCTTATATACTCGAAAAGAAAGCACGCTCCTCTATGATTCTAAATCCCAAACCGGTTAGATAAATATGTTCCGAGGAGACAAACTGCATCTGGATGGCCCCGAGGTAGCACAATTTGCACTCCTGTCTTTGCGGTTTTATGCAGCAAACAGTTTTTTGTATGTGGTTTCCCGTAATCCACTTCTTCGAAGTGTGGAGTTTTAAGGACCCAACAAATGGGTGCCAGATTAGATCGACTAATGAGGGCACATATTGTCCGCCGACGTTCTCGGGACAACACGTATAGCCGGCTATGTAGTTTTTAATCCAACTACTCATGGCTCCACATCGTGGAGGTTTTTTAGAGATTTTTATCGCAACGGCGTTACGTGACTGATATGGGGCACACTGAAGAACTGGCTCTTGAGTAGCTTGATCAGCTTTCGGTCTTGTAAATTATTTGAAGGTTTGACTAATGAATACTGGTGATGAATGGTTAACGGCTTCCGTGCAGTCCTAGAAGACCGGCTTTCAAAAAATATGCTTGTGAAATTAAATCAAGAATATATGACTACACAAATGTGTCCTGTGTGTGTTTACCCCGATTCATGTGTAATTAGTCAGCTTTAGTTTAACTTTAATAGGGGCAGCTTTAAAGCCCATAGTATACGAATCGACCGATGTAAGAAGCTTTAATTGTTATGGCTGTGTTTCCGTATCCGAACCGCGAAGGTCGTTCAAAGTTGCATATTGCTATAGTCAGCTGTTAATAGACAAAGTGGTAAACTTTCAGTAAAAGCGAACACGCAGAAGCAGATGTAATTGGTGGGGCAAGGTTTTTTTGCCTAATATTGTTAAATCCGTAGCGGATCCATCATCAGAGACAATAAAAGAA